AGGGTCCCGGTTGGAGTTCCCTTTTTAATCAAAAGGATGGAGAGAGTGATAGAGAAAGAGAATTGCGTTTTGCAATTTCGGGTATATTATTTTTCTTCCGTTTCTTCATTGATTGATCAATATCAGCTGAACTTGGCCATATTAACATAACGCGCAAAGCTGTGGTCCTCGCCTTGGTCGAGACCACGGTCCTGCACCGCTTGTCTGTAGCGCTCCTTAATGCCCGACTCCGGATCATCCGAGTCCATTTCGTCCTCGTAGTCTAGGTCGTCGTGGGCCATGGCATCGTCCTCCGAGTCTTCCGCATCGCTGACTGTTTGCGGCTCTTCTTTGCGCGGCCGGGGCTTTGGCTTGGTGCCGGCGCCGCCAACCTTCATGTCTTTCATCATCTTGTCTAGTTCGCGCTGACGCGACGCCTTCTTCTCTTGCTCTCGCTCGACTTTTCTTCGCTCAAGCTCGGGTTTATAATCCCGCTCGAACTCAGCCTTCTTTTCTTCAACGCCTTTGAAAAACTCGTCCATGCCTTCTCCAGTCATAGCACTAACGCCGACAACGCTAAGGTGCTTGTAGAATTCTTCAAGTACGAGCGACATGCTGTTCAGCAGGCTGCCCATGTATCCGCTGCCTCCGCCTACGCCTTCGCCGCCAAAAGTGCCGCCTTCCTCTTCATTTCGGAGCGCGGTCTGAAATGCCTCAAAGTCCGTCATCCAGTCTTTGGCAAATTGGGCGTCCTGGGCGTCGGTCTTATTGAATACCAGTATCATGGGCAGCTTTGTCTTGTAGAGGATCGAGCAGGCATATAGCATGTTGGACATGAAGGTACTTGTGCTGGTTGTCCGTGGCGTGTCGATAATGTACGCAATCACTGTGGGGAATGTGCTGGCTAAACTCGAAAGAAGAATCTCTCCGCTGGCCGACCAGACAAAGACTTCAATCTGACCTGGCGTATCAACCAGGATATGCTTGACCTGCGCCTGCTGAACTGGAGCCGCCTGCTTGCCCTTTCCACCGCTTGTCATGAATTCCACAGTGCTAGGCTCCGGCTCTCTTGCAGGCGGCGGCGGCTGTGTTCGCTTTTCTAAGAGACCAATGACCTGGTCGATTTTTGTGCTGAATAAGTTTAAACTTGTCAGGATGCCACCGTTGGGACCCAAATTGAATTGCTTCATGACCTCTTTGTAGTTGACACTATCGCGAATGTCAATGTTGGGTGTGAAGGGAACATGGTGGACGGCGGGGTCGAGGTTGATAATGTAGGGCGGGGTTGGAGATGTCTTGGATACTGATGGCTCGCTCTTCGTGGGGTCGGGGTGGGTGTAGAGGTGGGAGACGAGTCGTTGCATAAATGTTGTCTTTCCACTGCCTGCCATACCCACGCATACAATGGAGACGGGCGCATTCGAGGCAGCGGCGGGCGCGGCGCCCTCGGGGGCCTTTGAGGCGGACATGGCGAGGCTTTGTTTGAGTTGAAGCGGCGGCAAGGAGGAGTAGAAGTGTCGTAAATAGAATGTAGTGTAGAGAAGAAAATAGCAGGTACTATACAACTCCAGTGAACAGCCGCCAGACGCGGCCTTCTAGAAATTCTTAGGCGGGGCGGACGCGCTAGAAAACCGCCGCGGTGATGTCAGGCCCGAGCTTTGACGGCGGCTTGAAACTTTGGCCGCACGCGCTCAACGTCGCATAACATCACCGAGGACAATTAAATCAAGATCGTCGCCAATACCACCAATATGGGTCTGGAGGAATTCGAAAAGGAGCTTGCGCAGAGTAAGAAAAAAGATGAACAAAAGAAGCGCGACCGGAGCAGGAGTCGCGACAGACATCACCGCAAGCACCGCTCCTCGCGCCATCACGATGACGAAGAGCGCCACCGTTCCAAGAGGTCGCGACACCATCGGGAGACATCTGAAGAGCGTTCGCGACGGAAGCGGAGAGAGCGACATGAGAAGGAAGACCGGTCGCGGCGCAAGCACAGAGAGACTCACTCAAGCGACGATGAGGACCGCCTGACACGAAAGCGCAAATCACGACACTACGACGAAGACGAATCTTCTGGCGACGACGCCCCGCAGGAAAAAGACTACATGCCCCCTGACGATGATATTCTGGACCAGCAGCTTGAGGAGGCCGCAGATGCAGACTTGCAGCGCGACGATTGGATGAAGGCGCCATCGTCCATGGACGTCGACTACGTCCAGCGAAAGAAGAAGGAGGAGAAGACAACTTATGTCAAAGCATCAGCCGAGCAACAGCATGCGCTCAAGATCCACCAAGCCGAGCTGAACCATCATCTGGCCGATGTCAAGGACGAGCAAGCCCCTATGGCTGACGAGCCGGCCCAACGAGAAGTGGGCTACACTTTTGGAGACTCCGGATCGCAATGGCGCATGACGAAGCTCAAGGGAATATACCGGAATGCGCAGGAATCAGGTCGAAGCGTGGAAGAAGTCGCCATGGAAAAGTACGGCGACCTGCGTGACTTTGACGAGGCGCGCGAGGAGGAGATTGAGCTTGATCGGAGGAAAATGTATGGAAAGGATTATGTGGGCAAGGAGAAGCCATCAGGCGAGCTCTTTGAGGAGCGCAGACTAAAGGCAGACATTCATCGACCGTCCCGCGACTCTGGAGAAGCAGCAGATACACCCCAGGGCGAAGTTGTCCATAATCCACAACCAACAGCAAATACGGTTGCACTCAGCCAAACCGAGCTCAACAGACTCAAAGCCCAGATGATGAAGGCCAAGATGAAAAAGGCCCCTGAAGCCGCCCAACTCGAAGCCGAATACAACGCCGCTCTCGCAAATGCATCAACCTCTAAGGACCGCGATGTCGTCGTCCTCAACGCAATGGACAACCGTATGCTCGCCGGCGGCCGCGAGGGCGAAGTCATCGCTCTCACTAACAAGCGCGGCACCGAGCGCGGCCTCGTCAAGGAAAACGACGACATGTCCCTCGACGACATGGTCCGTCAGGAGCGCCGCACTAAAACCCAACCAGGCGGCGAAGGCCAGCTCCTCGCCTCCAAAATCGCAAAAGACAGTAAATTCGACAATGACCTCGACTACCTCGACGAAAATGCCACCAAACTCGCTGCCCGTGCCCCCAAATCCTCCATCAACCTCCGCAACGCCGCAATCCAAGACTATGCCAAAATGACCCGCATCCTCGACGCCTGCCCCTTGTGCCACCATGAAGACAAGTCACCCCCCCAACCCCCCGTCGCCCCCATCATCTCCCTCGCAACCCGCGTCTTCCTCACTCTCCCCACCGAACCAGAAATCAGCACAGGCGGCGCCGTCATAGTGCCCATAGCGCACCGCACCAACCTCCTCGAGTGCGATGACGACGAGTGGGAGGAACTCCGCAACTTCATGAAATGTCTCACCCGCATGTATCACGAGCAAGGCCGGGACGTTGTTTTCTACGAAAATGCCGCGTTCCCTGGCAGAAAGGGACATGCGGCGTTGAATGCTGTACCAATCCCGTTCGAGCTGGGGGACATGGCGCCTGCATTTTTTAAAGAGGCGATTCTCGCCCAAGCTGGCGATTGGACGCAGCACAAGCCGTTGGTGGACACGCAAAAGGCGTCACGGAACGGCATGGGGAAAGCGGCGTTTCGACGAAGTTTGGCGAAGGAGATGCCGTATTTTCATGTGTGGTTTGAGCTAGATGGCGGACTGGGGCATGTGGTCGAGGATGAGCGGGCGTGGCCGAGGGGCGATTTGTTTGCCAGAGAGGTGCTGGGCGGTATGTTGGATGTTGATGTTGAGGTTGTCAAGAGGCAGGGCAAGTGGGTCAAGGGGGATAGGAGGGTCGAAGGGTGGAGGAAAGGGTGGAGGAAGTTTGATTGGACGAGGGTTTTGACAGAAGGGCAGTAGGCTGCTGTGCTTCTGTGTAATATCTATGCAATTTCTCGGTCGAGTGATGAATCAAGAAATAAAATCGTCCAGTACCGACGGTTTGAATCCTGCTTAAAGCCTTTACTGCTACTGCAACATTACTAGTAGTATTCTACTTGATATATACTTTACTATATTAGTGCAGAGTTGGCGTATTTATCTTCTCGAATTTCTGTTGAAAACAACATCAACGTCATGCTGATACTTCGTTGTAAAGGGGACTCGCTTTGGTGGGCTATCCCGCTTGGTCTTGGTTTTTCAGTTTCATCGGTCAACTAAGAGGCAATATTTCTGAGCGGTCATGGTGTGATAGAAGTTTTTATGTATGCTATTATTATTCCCGATGCAAAGGACACTGTAATTTGCAAAATAGAAATGGTCGCGTAGCAACAAGTAGCGCTACAAAATTGTCTACTATTCGAACCAAAATGTGATCACGTGACGTATTCTCAATATGTAAGTACATACGACAGCAGGGATTCGCTGGTGATCACCCGCGCAAATACTGATCTGCCAGTACTAATCTAATATTGCTATTCATCTATGAATGCTTTGCGTATCTATGAAACCGGGATCAACTGTACTTAGTGAATAATGTGTGCTAGTAATCTGTTCTGAAGAAGGGGCTGATTCTCCACTTACTATACACATAGAAGTCAAGGGTCTTCGTGCCAGTCGCTGGTCAGATTGAGAGCCCTGTCAAATGTTGGTAAGGCCTTCCACGAAAAGGTTCTATTTGTCGCAGTCATTTCACAGCAATAATCCACATTGTTTGTTTATAATTCGCGTCGTCTTGAAATCATGCACATCGTGTTCGAGGTACTCCTTTCCCTACTCAATATCTACTTGGTATAGGGGTCTGCAGGAGTCTCAGTAAGGTGCTGGCAAGCTTATTAGCTGGTTAAGAAGAGTTCTCAATTGATCAGAGAAGATTAGTCAACTCAGCTGCTATACCTGATGCACACAATGGCCAAACATTTCAGGAGTTGCATAGATGGATGGGGCTTGGTGTGGGGGCCGAAATCAGTTTCCTCGGTATACTAGTGATTGGCCGCACTTGCCCTTCTACCTCCGAGAACCCTCTTCCCCATCCTTCACCCCCGAAAAAAAGCTTAATGCAATGTCGAGGATGCGCCGTTACTCCACATCGACTGTGTCAAGCTCAGACACTACAAGCTCCTACAGCGATGGAGAGGACGATGATAATGACGATGTCATCACTATTGATTTGGACAGCACGAAACTAACTCAAAGCATTTTGGCTGCCAGACGAACTGCTACCTCAGAGTTCCAGGAAACTTTGCAGGAAGATTGCCAAGAGCTGCATATCATAGCCTCGGTTGCATCAGACATCCCAGATAAGACAAGTCGATTGTCAGTAAAAATTGTAACAGGTGTTCCGGATGAGAAGGATAGCGATACCGACTCGGGAGCTATGCAACATTGGCTGTTAGTCACCAATCCGCCAACATCATTCATGCTTACATTCAAAAAAGACATCTTAAGACCGAGTGTTCATCATTCGAGACGTTTCGAGTTAGTAGCAGCTGAAGAAGTGCAAGTTGATACAGTTTCACAGACTTACTGACCATAACCAGCAAGCGGCACTCAAATTTGCACTGCGATACCACGCAGATGCGATCACGGTCCTCATGTATCTACTTCAGCAGGTTCAGGACAAATTCGAAATAACATCCGCTTATGGAAGCTATATCCAGCCAGGTACAGTCCTGAGATGTAATGGCAAAGATACGAAAAATTCAAAGAAGAACGATGTATCAGCCACTTTCGTTTCATATCCGTATTTCGATGTCAGCAGCGGGAATTGGCCAGATCCTCCGGCCGATGACTCCTTGCATCTTCCGCGAGGTCTGTTCCAGCAGCATTATCCACGGGAAGCGGCCCAAGATCGAGATCGTCATCAATCTTTCAGCAAATTCAGACGACCTGGAACAACATCAAGTTATTCCTTGCGTGTACCTCAGTTATGGGCCTTGATAATAGGCTCAAATACGTTAATCACATGCGGGTCTTCAACGTTAGCTTCGACATTCCACGAAAGCATCGAGTTCGTAACACAAGAAGCACTTCTGGTTGGCTTGACAAGCTTGATACAACTTTCGGCAGACTTTGTTATAAAGACCGTCTTCTACCTGCCATTGGAAAGTTGCCAGACATTTTTTGCGCTCAAAGCTATGATAAAAAAAGAATGTCTTCGGAGCACAGACTATCACATCGACGATTGTATCTTGTACACCTCGGATGATAATGTTGAGCTCGATGCATCACGATGGCCAAAACTTGTGCAGACCAGGGGATCTTTGTTCATTTCAGTGCGCATGAGCCTTCGCAACAAGCTAAAACCGTCCACAAATGGAAGTTTCACGAGAGGACTATTCATCGAATATGGAAATTTGAGCTCTGACAACGAACAAGATAAGGTAGCTACGGAATCACGTAAGAGGTCAGTTATTAGAGCTTAGCATATTTTCGAACCTGTTCGATCTAGACTAACATATCCAGAATGTCTAGTGCCGTGCAAGATCAAGAAACAAAGGCCGGAGCAGATAACCAGTATTCTACAGGGCTGAAGGATCAAAACGCCGATATCCAGCTAAAGCAACCACAACTAACTATAGGTTACGCCTCACCTGGCGAGCCGCTCTCTGAAACCACCAGCGAGTCAGAGGAAGAAACATCTGGGCCGGTCAGAGAGGATGTGAACCAAAAGCAACCTCGAGTGGAAGACAATGCTGCATCTATTCTGCAAGATGAAGTAAGATACACAATCCGTGATGAGATAGCCCATGATGTAAATCTACAGGAAAAGAAAACACAAGAAGAAAAGGAATTTCAGGAGCGATTTGAGCTTGAATACAGAAAGCGCCTCAGTCGTTTCGGATTTGCACCTAATCAGATTGACGCGATGATGGGTACTCAATCTACAGTGAATCCCAATCCAGGCCCAGCTCCCCCACCACCGCCTGCTCCAGATTCCAGTGCACGGGAACTGCCTACATATCCCATGGTACATAGGAAACATCTTGATATGGATACCTTGATATACTACGACATTCCATACGAACACCACGACGACGACCCAGACTACCTTATCATAATGCAAGAGTGCAACCAACCTGAGCTTGAAATTCTTTTTGAGCACACCCGACGCCTTCGTCAAGACCAAGCACCGCAGAAACCCGAAACCACTACGGCCAGTTCTGATAAAAAAAAGACCAGCTCAAAACAACAAAGTTCTAGCCGAAATTCACGAAACCCTGATCCACGAAGCAGCGACTTTAGCGGAGAACGGAGTTGGGCCAGAATGAAGGCCAATAGGGCCACTAGGGCCACTAGAAAAAGACTCAAGCCGAGCCATCTCGTCACACGCCAGGACTTTCAGAAATCCAGCTTTGAGAATAACACCCAGCGCATCAATCAGGAGTTACGTGTCCCACCCTTTCTAGCATGGCCTACCACATACAATGATAAGAAAAACGAAGTGGGCTCCCAATCCCAAAACGAAGCTACATCTCCGATGGATTCCAGTGGTGTACTGATACAAATCACCCTGCGTATGATTGACGGGGGAATCTATCATCCCCATCAAGACTTGAAAGCCGGCTTTCGTGCCGCATCTCTTGTTGTGTGGCAGAAAGGTAATAACCAAACAACTATTCGTGCGAACTCCATTCCTAGGAAAAGGATAGGTGATATTGATGTCAAATTTGACTCAAAGATCCTGCTGGACCCGCCTTCTCGCCTAGAGAACTTTATACAGTATCTCGAAACACCCAGGGAGGGGGAATCAGAGGAGCGTTTTCCTTCACCAACGAGGTCATTCAGAAACTTAGCCTTCAGCCATGAAGTTTCCGGGCGAGACGTACTTCTTTGGCAGGTGGCACGGTTGTTCGTTCTCAGAAATGTATTTGCCGACGGTGTAAAAGCCCTAACTGGCCAGTTCGTGCCCAAGCATTATGCACATCCCCTCATAGATCGATGCTGGGGCTCAATCTCGATTGTAGATCAAGTAAGTCGAATCCCCTTAGGGTGTGACACAATTACTAAAAACCATAGGCTGTACTCAAAACATCACGAGAACTCTGCGGTCATCTGAAGAAAGGCCATGCTACAGGCAATTCTCCAACATATGTGGTAAGAGATATACCCAGAGATGGCTACTCAACAATACACTCCCTAGCGGACCTTGACAATCCAGTATCATCCTGCCATATTTGCGACAACAGAAAATATTACGCCAGTATTGAAGACGCAATTAACCATCTTCGTCTTGCGCATATTTCTCCACAAAGTACCGACGTAGAACACCATTCGGAATCGCTCAAGCATTGGGTCGCATCTACCACAGACGCAGATCTGGAGAGTAGAACGGAAAGTCTTCTTAGATATCTCGAGACCCTAAATCGACGTGTAAACAAGCTCCTGTCAAAGGCTGTAGAAATGCGTCAGAGTGTCGCCAATGGCTCGCAAGAGCTCGATGACGGGTACTTTTTGCGCGCAACACTAGTCAAAGCTGCGAAGAAGATTTTCCAATTCGTGTACTACTCAGCATACAGTTTCAATGTTCATTGCGACTCTGGATCTGCACCAGTGGGACCTCAGCTTCTTGTTTCGTCTCGAGGACATTATCACGACAAATCTGGGGCTGAAATGTTCGCTACCCTCGCCGACCTCGCCATGTCAAAAGCAAGGGACGACCTCTTACTCATGACGCAAATTGGCGATGACACGAGGTCAGTGTTCCACTTCAAAGCTTCGATACAATTTACTATCTACCTCGGTCTTTCAGATCTCGTAAGAAGGCCACTTATGTGGAATATGTCGATCTTGGAGCTATACAGAGACTACCTGTCTGCTTTGGTATGTATTTAAATGAAAAAGTATCTGATCAGGTGTATTCTAACTATGGTAGCGCTTCAAAGCCAGCCGCAAACCTTCCAAGCTGGTCTTACGTGAACTATATCTCTTAGATGAAGAGATTGAAGTTGTTGCGTCTGTATACATGCAACAACATAGGGCCGAATATAAGCTCTGGAAAGTGCTTGGAGTAGATGAGATTGAACTCAGGAGAGAGGTGAGTGTAGTTGGAACGTCTTGAAACACAATCAACTAATAATTTACATATAGGGTCGAGACGAATACGTAGAGAATTTGTTCTCCCAATTTCGCAAAGAGCTAGAAAGGGCTACCAAAGCCCTGCGACACAACATCGAGATCACAGAAGAAGGCAACTCCAAAGCGATTCTTATTTTCACACTCGTCACAATCATCTTCCTGCCTCTTTCCTTTGTAGCCTCGGTGTTCGGCATGAATACTTCAGATATCAGGGACATGAACAGTGACCAAACGCTTTTCTGGGCGATAGCACTTCCCGTCACCGGAACCATCGGCACGATATCCCTGATAGCAGCATACCGACACACCGACATTGTAGAAGGAATACAAAAGTTCAAGGATAACTTCGCAATGAAAAGGCACAGGTACAGCCATCACCGTCGTCCTTGGAACCGTAACAAACACAGAACAGACGAAGAGCGGGCATATGATTCCAACAGCGCTGCGATAGGGACACTAAAACGCCCCTTCGACTCTCAACGCTCTGATCCATGGCTACACAGCAAACGCTGGTCGAGCCACAAACAAAAGACTGATTCGCATGGTCCCCGTATTCTAGTCCGCACCGCGACTGGTAAAACGCTGCATGAGAAACCCAAGCGGAGGGTGCGTACAGCAGAAATACCGGGCGGCTCAAAGAGGTATTGAAGAGCGAGAGAAAACAGTAATATACATGGACCCCCTACTTCCCGTTAATTCACCAATGAGCGTACTCTACTCGTATTGATTATCAGCCCCCTGATATCAATCCAATTACACTCAATATACTGCGCAAAACAACATGAATATAAAACAATGCCAACATTCTGTAAACGTGAACTAACGAGTGGCACAGCTTCAGTTTTACATCACTCTGGCTGCCCACTACTGTAATTGCTACCCAGTCTCGCTAGCCTGCGTAGCTCCTTCAGCTGCTCTAGCTGCTCTAGCTACATTGAATGTATGCTGCTGTATCTGCTTTAGTTACCCATTTCTTTGACCAAACACTACTCTCATCTTCTAGTTAGATTCTACCATCCACCCCATAACCTAGCCCTATTTAAACAAGAAACCCCCAAATATATACGCCTACCTGCAGCTAAAAAAACGTAGAAGCTAATCCGATCGCATTTATTCGTAAAGGAAACAGGACCAGAACCAATCGTTATACACGAATGTAGCTGGAATTATTTTGCATTCTGTTCATTGCAATTAACCTACATTAGTGTTCATGAAGAGTAAAAAAAAGAACAGTTGTGTGCGCTGGATAACGAAATCCTGGGTGCTAATGAGGAATATTCCGCTGTGAATACTGCACTACAGTGTGAAAGAACGTTTGATCTCGAATATGGCTTTCAACATTTAATGATAAAGAATAGTTAGACTTGTTTTTTGTTTACAGGATTCATGTAATTTTTTACATCATGCAATAAATTCCACTGATACATCGTTATCCCGCGACACAGCTTGACAGTAATTCTTGACTTCACCAGGGCCGATAAGAAAAAAGACAAACTGTCAGAAATTCATGTTACAATGAATCTTGCAGATATCCATCGACATATTTAAAACTACCACTTCTTCCCCTCATCCCCATCAAAATCTTTCTCTTGCCTCTCCCTCTCCATCCTGGCATCAAACTCCCGTTGCACACGCTGACGCTCCCTACTCCTTTCTTCATCGTCACCGACAAACGAATATGAATCACCTAGCGTAGATCCCTCTCTGCGTTCGGGTTCTGGTCTTCGCGGCGACTGCCGTTGTGGTTTTTGCAGTGGTACAGGCTGGCCGCCGCGCCGGAGACGGTCCCAGGATGACTCGCCTGATTGGGATTGGGATTGCGGGTTCTTTACTTCGTCTTGGAACAGACCGCCTGTGGGAGAGGCGTCGTTATCGTCGAATAGAGAAGGAGAAGATGATGATGACTGTGTAGGTTGACGATTCCAAGAGCCTGTAGATGGCGGTGCCTGCTGCCTTTGCCGAGGCGACTGCGATGAACTATTGTTGGAAAAAGTCTCCCAGGTTTCTGAACTAGTAGATTCAGAGCCCCATGTTTCATTACCGGCAGTCGGACTCATATCGTCGGCTGCATCGTCACGTTGTGCTGGAGGCTGCTTGCCCCATCTAGCTTGTGGTGATGGACCCCCACCTGTACGATTCCTCACCTGCTCTTGAAACTCTCGACGTCGTTCTTCAATCTCACGCCCTTGCTGTGCATTCCTCTGCCCCTCGGCATGCGATGAAGCCTTCAATTCCACCCCAAAATGCTCCAGCTTGGGGTCATTAGCTGTATTGACCGCTGCAAGGGGTTGTGCGATGAGCTGGCCAATTATACTACCCATTTGCCCTGCTACGACCACGTAGAGGCAAAATCGCCATGTGTGTCGCGCAAACTGCGCCATTGGTCCACGGACTGGACCGAACTTATTCACGTCAATGTCCTCTACCTTGGGTTGATAAAATGGGTATTTCATCTTGTCCCATGTTCGATACCATTGCCACGTTCCAGCCGCGGCGCCTGTTGCAGCGAAATAGCTCTTTGTTTGTTCAAGCTTGTAGATGTGGAATGCGAGCGCCTGCGCTTCTTCCGGATTGAGCTGACGGCCAACTTTGCGCTCGGCAAACTTGAGCGTTGTTTCGGTTTTGAAGCGGACGGCACGTTCAGAGAAGCCCATGAAGGTGCCTATAACAGGTAATGGGCGCGGAAGATTGGTCGCGTCGAAACGATTGCCATTGTTTGGATGGGCAGGCGAAGATGCGTAGGGATCATTCGAAGTTGGGTAAGGATCGTCTGTGAAGCCCTCGGGGGCATTCTTATCGGCATCTCCAAGCACCATGTTTGGTTACGCGTTGTAGAGTCGCAATGTTGTGGGGTTGCTAGGGAAGGTGGGTGGTGAGAGATCGGGGCTTGGTGGAAGCTTTACCGATGACGGCATCGAACGCAGTCTCGGGATCACCAAGACCCATTTCCGCGATCTGATTTCATGATGCGATCCTAGCACCACCATAAGTAAGCCGCTTGAAGAAGATCCTAACATATTGCACAACGTGGTGGGTGTTGGAATATTCAAATATAGTCTATTTCCAAATGCCTTCCTCCCAAACGACAATGCTCCTCACGAAAGGCTACGTACTTATACACTACAATAATTCAAACCAGCTACAAGACCAGCCGGGCCATTACGGAAACTCCATATGCACAAGGTGAGGGAAAAAAGAAAAAGAATAGGTTGATGTGGAAAAGAAACGCCCACTTCTTCGTGTAACGCCACGATTCATACCGTTCGCAACGGCCATCGTAGTTGGCCGCAAAAGAGAACTCAAAGGAACTAATTCCAGCGATCGATGTGGTCTTTTTTCTCGCTCCTGTTGCTTCTTGTATATACTTTTGACAGCCGCTAAAAGTGACATAGTGAGGCGGTGGTTTGACCAGAAGTCTTGCATGATTACGAGTACTTTTATAAGATGACGCAACGGCAGGTAGCCGTGGGCTCGTCGTCGCTCTCTCTCCGGTTTCCAGATTTGCCAGTCTTGGCGTTTTCTTCTTCATCAACGACCTCTTGTGGCTTGACGGTCATGTGAACAACATTAGGGGTATCTGTTTGAAATCGGCATTCTGCGGTTTGTCAGTAAGTGTTTGACAGGGGCTATATCATGTCTTCAATGCAAGGCATGCATTCAAATCGGATCGACCAATTAGTGCGGCCAGCCGAGGAACCGCACAAGCTGTGCCAATACCCTTGGCGCAATCCATAATGAGGTCCTTACCTTTGAGTGGCGACTTGTCGTCAAGCATGCGACCAAAATGAATGAGCCTTATCGATCCCGGCGAGGTGGGCCGAGCCTCCCACTCTGTTCACTTGAGTTAGCTTTGTAATGTAGAATTCAATGCGATGCGATGCGCTGTGAGCCACAGTTTCTTTGCCAGCGCTGTTTGGACGAGGCCAGGTACAAATAATGCACCTGGAAGAGCAGCATAACAGCGCGTCACGGCTGACGCCCCGCTTACTCGTGATAAGCGCCCCCTGCTCTTGCATAAACTGTATAGAAAAGAGTATGCGTACCTTCCCGCCAGTCTCGCCATATCAGCTCTTTGAGGGTATAGACGCTGATGTTGTACGGATCCATGTTCTCCACCTTGACACTGCGCTTCTTCAGGTACTTTTCGTCAATCTTGTACGGATGCCTTGCACCGCTGGTAAGAAGCAGCATTATTACTAGGACAGGCCCGTTCGTGTTGTCTGGGTTTGCGGCCGGTGTGTCTGTCGACGGACCGATGGCCTCGGTGTCTGCGCGATTTAGCGCAGAAGGGGGCGCGAGCTTTCCAGGGGATGAAGGAGCGACAGGCGCATCTTCTAAGGTGCTGGAACCGACGGGTTGCTCTGCAGGTGTAGCTGCTGGAGCTACAGCGGGTGCGTCTGTGGTGTGCGTGGTTGTGTCTGCAGGCGCGGGTGCTGCACCAGAGGCCTCGAGGGTCTTCATCTCTACCGAGCCTATCGATGGAGGCTCGTTCCTGCTCTGAGGCCGCGATCCTGAGGTCTGTTGGTGTGGAGTAGTTTGTGGTGCCGTGGAGGCTTGATCGGCTGTGGACGACATGGTTGGCCGGCCGACTTCACTCGCGCGATGGATGCGATTGCGGGCAAGTTAAGCGAATGGAAGGCAAACGGGGGGCTGGGGGCGACTTGCAGGTCGGCCTCGACGTCGCAACGAGAGAAATGGCAGCGGGGGAAAAATGGTGTAGTGGTGAGGCGTCTCAAGGGCTCATGCGTGGACGATGGAAGGCTGGCCGGCCGTGCGCGACTGGGAAGTCGCCGTCGCGGCCACCCTCTCCCTTCTCCGCAATCCGCAAATGCGGCAAGAACGACCCGCTGTCTCCACTAACAGCCCGTTACTGCTACTCGGCTCTGCACCGCCTCAATATCTCGTCTTCCGTACACATCCTGCTTCACACACTCCATTTGCCGGGCTGCCGTCCATTGCCTCACAGTGCATCGCCATGCCAAATGCATCTCGGCAAACACTGGTTCCCCCGTCATTGTTGTTCGTCCACCTGCGAAACCCGCAACATGCCCTATTTGGACTTGTCGTTAAAGCGCGTGCCCCTGCATCACTCGCTCATTTACAATGATTGGCCACGCCCACTCAGCACTCGTCGCGTTATCGCATGCATTCTGCGCCACATCTTCACAGCTCTGAGTCGGCCCGGGCTTCCCTTCTATGCTTTCCTTGGCCGCTTCTCCAGGCTGACAAGAGAAAATGGTCTTTGGGCACGTGGGGCAGGCTGGTGGCTGAGGAGCCACTGCTTCCTTCGTCTAGTACATCACGACTTTGTAATGCCATCATAACTTCATCTCCAAGCTCCACAATACCATGGCCATTTTGGCTTCATCGCTTCATTCGTTAATCTTAACCCTGAGTGGGTGGGTGCTATGTCCTTGTGAACCGCCAAGACCATTGAAATGGGAACAACCTGCTCGAGCCGCGTTATCGTCTATAGTGGCAGTGTACAAGCGTCTTGATTTGCTGGTCATATAGCAAGCCTCTACCAGTTCATCTTCATCTTCTTCTCAATCTCCGTGTGGAAGTCTGGTGCTTCCCGCAGCTCGTTGCTAGTGAATATATCCTCCCAGCCAATCTCACAATCCCGTCCCTGGAGAATATCTTTGTGAACACCGCTGCTTCCACCCAGTGCTAATGGTCTCCACTCCCCCGCTTCAGCAATCTTCAGCTCCATACCCCTACGCACGGGCTCTGCAATGCCAAACTGCCGCCTCAGCATCTCCATCTTCAGACGGTCTTGGGTATCGCGCCACTGGACAAGACGGGCCTCGAGCGGATGGGCAGACTGCAGAGCAACTGGTGCTGTCGATGATGACGAAGCGGTAGGTGCTACCGATGTGTGGCCAAGGCGAGATCGAAGGGTATCGTGGACGCCGGGAGCCGAAGGCGCAGAGGTTTCAAGCGTAGTTTGCGCAGGGTGCGCCTTGCTGGGGACGAAGCGGAGAGACTAAGCATGTGTAAGTATTGAATGCGTGCATGTATTGTGTATATCATTGGGACAACTCACCATTTTGAATCTCGGTGGCGCGCGGGGTTTGTGAGAGTTATATACGGCCAATCGATGTATCGAACTCGTTGAATTCGGTTGTTCAAGTCGTCGGACTAGTCAAGAGTAAGGTATGGATGTTGAGTGGCAGGTTGTCAAGCAGTTGCTATCAACAGAGCTCTAGGCTACCTGGAGTGACGTGCTTCGCTAGCGCCTTGGCAACTGGCCCAAATGCTCGAGGTTTGATGCTACATCGACTCGCACATACACATACACATTGCCCACACTAAATCATGCCCATGCCCATGAATATGGATGTCTACTTACGTTTCTACTGGAGTCATATCTTACATAGCCCTGGCAGTCAACATGGCTCCTAAGCTCACCAGGCCTGCCATGAGCATGTTGACAGCATTATTGTCCAACAAATCACTCCCAACCTCAATCTTCCTACTCTCATGCTGTGGGTCTGTAACGGCCGTTCCACTTGCTCCGGCTTTCAACATTGCTTTCGAAGCCTTGATCGATGCTGCCGCGTCCGTACCGCTGACCTTAGTAATGCCATCCTTGCCCTCCGATCGACGACTAACATTGCTGTGTACAAGCACCTTTCTTCCTCCCTCACCTTCAACAACCTTGCCCGAGTGTACGTCAACCACGCTAGCCTGAAAGAGAGCTCCTAGAAGAGAATCAAGGAGTGTTCCACTAAAGCCAGCTGCTGTCAATGCAAGAGTATACTTTGTCTTTTCAACAAAGCTCCAGTCTTTGCAAAACGGCATGAACATCGTAGAACTGAGTGAGATTATCAGTGCGCCGAGTACTCCTGCACCAAGACCCGTCGTGGTCACCCCGCCATTTGTGCCAGGCGGGACGATACGCCATGGAGCGGTTATCAGGCGTGGCTTGGATTTCGACAAGATTCCAAGTTCAGATGAAAAGGTGTCTGCAGCGACTGCGGCGTAGTTTCTGATGCATGTCAGTATCAAGTCCGTGGCCAAAGGCGAATGCCATACGCTACGATGCCTGTTACCAATACATCACTATTTCCAGTCCAGCAGAGACCCTCATCTTCATATCGTCCATCCTTCCTTAGCTGCCAGAGGTGGAGCAGTATTAAAACCGATGCTATACCAGAGTTTGCGACCACTTGGATATGATTGCGCGCACCTTCTCCACCAGATGCACCCGTTGCGGACTGAGTAAGCTTTGCTTTAATGTCATGCTTGACCTATATTTTGTTATTTACCGTCTGGTTTGAAACACAAATGTGACATACTTTCGTGACGGAACTCCCGGCTAAGAAGAAGACGGCAAGAAGCAATGTGAAAACGCTCCAAGGATGCAAGGTATGAATGACAGCTGTCACAAATGCTGCGAAGATGCCGACAGGAGTCAGCGAGTTCCGCGACCACGCTCTATAGATGAGCGCAGCTATTCCAGGGATGGCTATCATGGGCTTCATGATTGATGTTTTTGTTTTGATGTACAGTGACACAGAGATGTGGCACAAAGACCGGGAGCTTACTCATGTACTTCTTATGGGGTGGGGGCTAGTACATCATTGAACCCCGGCTTGGCATAAACTACTGAAAGTATCAACCCCGACGTCGCAACTTCGCTCATCCCGTTCTTAATATAATTATCGAACAATATCAATATCAACCCTTCACTCGAGGGTTCAAAATGCCCTCTGCAGTTTGTCGGGTCACTGCCCACTTACTTTTCTAAGCTCGACTTCACTCTACGAACCCACAAGTTACCAACGCTATCAACGGAACCAATCTGAAAGGTAACTGAGACGCAACGAAATATTTTGAAATATTGACAATTGGAGGCCTGGTGAAAGTTACGTGCGTCCCACTTTTACCCAGGCATCTACATATCGAGCCTGGTCGCGTCTGCCTATGGGTCTTGTACTGCTATGGGCAACCTGCATAAAGCCTAACCCCGAAGTTACATGTTTAGTAGAGCTATAGAATAATCTTAAAACTCTATACTCTTAGAAAGAGTTTAGCTCTGATTTCTTAATCTGCAAAGATCTAATTAACACCACACTTATAAGCTGCTAAAATAACATTAAACCCTATCTTTAAAAGCTATTAAGGCTTAGTCTAAGCTTAAAAGCTCATAAAATCGAACTACCTAATCGATTTATTACTATGCTAATACTTAATAGTTTAAGTTTAGAATTTAATTATCTTATTACCGCGATCACATAAGACTTTAAATTAAATACAGAAATTAATCTTAAAATAATGTGCAGCTAGATTGTTAACAAATCTAGACGTCTTAGATCTATTAAGAATAGCTCTAGCAGCTTAAACAGCTTAATCTAAAGGAGCTATATTAAATCTTATTAATCTAATCTATTCTATTAATCTAATCTATTCTATCAATCCGATCTATACTATTAATCTAATTATAGATTCGATTAATCTTATTAATCTTATTAATCTAAGAATATAGAAATGTTCTTATTCACTTAGAAATCTAATAGAAGCTTAAAGCACTATAGCTACTGCAGAAGAAATAGGCATCTAGTTAATTAATGTTAGTAAAAAGAACTATCTAAGCGCACTAACTAGAGCTTATTTAAAATAGAAGAAGCTCTCTCTACGATTATATTAGTAGACTAAAATATCGCTAATATTAATACTACTAGATCTATCTAATCTACTAAATCTATTAAGTAGATACTAGATAGTGGAGCTAGTGCGCATATCTACTGCGATTAAACTCTATTCCGGAATTATAACGGCGCAGGCAAGACTACTCAGATCAGTATCGGCAGTAGTGTCACTCAGAGGCATATAGGAGTGCGTGGGACATTAAACGAGCCTTAATTCAAATAGACACCTATAGGCCTTGTACGAAAGGATATTAAAAGTCTATAGAGCTAGCTATAGGGAGTGTCTCCTTATATACTATTCTTAGTTAGATCTGAATTAAATCCGATCTTATAACGAGTAGTTAATGAAAAGAGCGGCGAATACTACCTCCGATCCGGCTCTGGGATTGGTCCGATACTTAGCGAAGTATAACGTCGTTATACTACCTCTCTCTTAGTAGATAGCTAGTCCTATAGCTATAAGACTTTCTTATATCTCTCTATTATAGTTCCTGTACGCTAGCGCGAGAGACTATTTTAGGTGACTTTTAGCTTATTATTCTATACCTACTTTTCTTTTCTTTTCTTTCTCTATACTCGATTATCTTATAGCAAAGTTATATCCTCTATACTCTTCTTCTAAGCTTAAATCTACTAGTTAAGAGCCTAAGAGAGTTCTAGCTTTAATAGGTTTTATTTATAAAACTCTCTAAGCTTATAAGAAGCTCCTATAAAGTTAGAAGTAGAGTACTAGATAGAATCTAGATTATATCTAATCTAGCTTATCTAATACTTTAACTTAGCATAATATAACTTACTAGTAAGGATCTAATCTACTTTCTATTCTTCTATACCTTAGATAGGCTTACTAGAAGGCTTAGAAGCTTCTTATCTTAGAAGAAGATCTTAAGAGTTCTTATATAGTAGGTCTAGAGCGAATACGTTATAGATATAAGACTCTATTAGTAGTTAAAGTTAATATAAGTAGCCTACTTTCTCTAAGACCTTAAAGGGACTTTTCTACTTAGCGGCTAGCTTATAACTTAGATAGTTAATTACTAGGTTCTTAGTATCTAAGAATACTATATTACTAATATTCTAATTAATAGAGTAATAATAGTAGTTAATGGTGGATTATATCTAGTTCTAAGTCTTCTCTATCTACTACTTAGTAGTATCCTATATAGCGTATATATAGGTAGTAAGCGCTAAAGTATTCTTATAATTAAGTTTATTAGTAGAGGTAAGAATACTAGTTAAATACTACTAGTTCTAGCTTTACCTAAGTATAGATCTATAAAGAATCTAATATAGAGATATACTAATAGAAGAGTAAGATAGAGAAATTTAAGTATAATTAATTAGAGGTAGTAGCTTACTTTAGTTATCTTGGTAGTAGATTACGAACAGACGTAGTCTCTGTTAGAGATATAAGCTAATCAGCTAATCTCTGACATAATCCGGGTGCTCGGCACTATACTCGGATTCTTTAGTCAACCAATCCCTATACAATTCATCTATCTATTACGTCTATATCTACGTAATCTACTACTAGATAGATTCTTCTAGAATCTAGTACAGCAAATATATATAGTAGTAGAATAGCTAGTAGATAGAAACCAGAGCAGATAGCACAGAGCAGATAGCACAGAGCAGATTGCACAGAGCAGACTACTAGTGCAGACAACAAGATAAGATCGGATCAATCTAATTCTTCAATCTCTCTCCCCTAGCATCATTTCTCTTTTTTTCATCCTAGAACCTATCGATTCGCTACCTCTGAGTCTATCGCTAGACAAGTAGACGACTCTACCTCTGAGCTAGCTATAGAACAAGTAGCACCCTCCTTATCCCAACAGTCTCTAATTAATATACTTATTTATAATCTCTATTTAACTATTAGTTTTCTTATAATAGGTAGTAGATAGCTTAATCTTAACGCCTAGAATCTAATAGAACTTAGACTAGAAACTAGACATAAACTATAGTTCTTAATTAGAGATAATTATCTCTAAAGTATATCTAAATTAGTATACTTACTAGATAAAGAGTTTAGTTATACCTCTTACGTTAATAGTCTTATAATATAGAATAAAGATAGCCTATTTAAATAACTAGTTAATTACGACTATAATCTAATTATATCTAGCCTTATTCTTAGAAAATTTTTTAAAGTTAATATAAAGATATTATATTAGTTAGTTAGAAATTAGAAGAGAGTAAATTAGCTCTAGAACTTAGATCTATCTTAGATAGGCCTTATAGTAGGCTAGATAGTTCTATATATACTTCTTATAGGTAGCTTCTATACCTTTCTAGTAGTACTTCTAAGATAGTAGCTAATAAGTTTTCTTAGTACTTAGGTAGGCTAATAAGACCTAGTTATAGGCCTCTTAAATTAACTAAGTATAAGCGATAGAGTCTAGCTACACGTAGATGCGGTTTAAGTAGAGTAATAATCTATTTTTTATCTAATACTTATTAGAGAGAGTATAGCGCTCTTTCTTAAATAACGTATAGTTTTACTATAATAGAAGCTTAATTAGCTTAAAGAAGTCTAGGGATATAGTCTTCTAAGTAGGCTTAACTACTAGTAGTAAGATAGCCTACTTAGATAGTTATTCTATATATACCTTAGTAAGTTTAGAGTTAATTTAGTTATCTAGTTAGTATAGTTTTAGAAGAACTTATAAACGATTATTAATTTAGATAGTTCTTAAGTTCTATATATTCTATTTATAATAGCTAAAGATATTAGTATAGATATTATCTTTACTAGGCGTGTATTAGATATAGAAGTTAAATAAGATAAGCTATTTAGTCTATCTTACTTATAAGGCGTTTAGAACTTTAGTAGTTATAAAGTACTTTAGTAAGTAGTAGTTAGAGTATACTTAAACTTAGAAGTAAGCTAAAGCTAACTTAAATCTTTACTTATTAAATACTATAATAATAGTATATAACTCTTTATTATATATCTTCTAGTTTAGCCCTAATCTAGATAGAATCTTACTAAAGAAAGCTACTAGGCTCTATAAGCTATTTAGTTAGTTCTATAATAAGACGCTAGCTATAATACTATTAGATATATCTATCTTTACCTTAGTATTATACTCTAGATAGTAGTAATATAAAGTAGAGATTACTAGTAAGACTATTTTTATTCTTTTAAAAATATAGTTATAGTCTAAATTCTATATAGAGGGCTTTGCGGGGCTCTAAAGTATAATAATTGTTAGAGATCTAAGCTGTAAGGGGCTGCGCTCTGGGGAGCAATCGCGAGGTATACAAGAGGTTGTATTCGATGAGGAGCTAAGCTCCCAAGCTACGTAGCTGTCTATATACAAGCTGGTTACCCGAGTAACAATCGGACCGGTGAAGTCTAGGTGCACGAGGCAGCTTCTGGGTCCTGCGGCTGTCGTCTGAACGTCGTTCGGGCGGTGCGCAGAGAATCCGGGTGCTCGAGACAGCACCCGGGTTCTGCGAGTAGGCCGAGATTCCATCGAGGAGCTATCCAAAGGGCGTTCAGCCCGTTACAATACCCCCCTCCTTAGGGTGATACCGCATCGCCTCTCCGAAACCCTTCCGGGAGGCGGCCCTCGCTGTCTCGTTTGGTCTCTGTGAACGCTTCCCAACGATCTACTGCCTCAGCGTCCTCTAGTAGCTCCGCTGGTTCGAGCGTCGTTCGGTGGAACCCTTTCCACTTCACCTCGTAGTATAGCTTACGCCCTCTCC